AAGAGCGGTGGGTGTTCTGATGTTGCTTACAAAAACAAACCTAATGTATAATTCCTCTGAAGAGAAATGGCGTGTCATTCCTTCAGCCCGGCAGCTCGAGGCACTGACGGCTGCTCAGCTGCGTGGCTGATAGAGGAAATAATCACGTGCATTTTAAATTCATTTTTCTGGGCTTGGTGGTGTTTTGAGAGTATAAAACTATAGAGTTGGTGGTGTATGATCTGCTGCGTTGTAGCCCATCTTCCTCCGAGTCCTGTTTAATGGCTCGCGCTAGCTTCTAACTAAAAACATAAACTTTGGGGCAGCGGGGAGGATTTGCCTTTCCTTACCCTGTCTCAGCCCTGAGAGGCCCAGACAAAAAGGAACAGCATGTCTTTGAGCACATGCGAGTTGGGCATTGTGCAAGTTTCAGACAGGGGACTTCATGGAGCTGAGTGGACACAAAGGCGTGTCTGAGTTTCTGAATCCCAGACGGTGTGATCTGCATTTTAATAGAAGAAAAATCAATTAAACAATCTTTGTAAGTCCTTCCTAGCTTTAGGGCTAAGCTAGTTCTGGTTTATTACATCTTTTATTATCCTGCATCCTGAGGATAAAATTCTCTGCTTTTCTTTCCAGTCCTCTTCTGGGTTTTATTTGGCTTCTTGTACAGAACACAGATACAGCGTGTCTTTTCCCTGTGACTGCAGTGAATTTCTAGTATAGTTGTGTGTTTTTGAAAGCTAAATGAATTCTACACGTAGTTAACGTACAGGGTGCCTTAAATAGTGGTGGTAGCAATCTAGTAATGTGAAGATGAAATGTTGGGAGATTTTTACGCATGGGGGAGAGATTTCCTCTAGATTCAGAGGGAAGAATAACTTCTTTCTGCTTTCTTTTCTGAGGCTTACAGTAAAAATATTCTGTGTTAATGTGGATTTGCTGTTCTGTGTTTTCATCTTTTTAAAATTGCATTTGAAGATATTTTTTTTTCCAGCTGCAATTTTTGCTTGGGAGGGACCTGCTTTTCAAGAAGAAGCTGCTGAAACGGGCTTTCTGTTGGGTGCATTTTCTGGCCTCCCTGGTGTGACTTAGGTGTAGACACAGGTGTGCCCCGTGGACTGTGAAGCTGATGGGCTCCTGCCTTCATCCCCCCAAAGTGCTTCTGGCTGAGCCGGAGGAGGAGGAGAGAGGTCAGAGTGCGTTTTGACATTACTAAGGACAATTGCTGTCAGGGTGTCTAGACAGACCTGATAAGGATATTAAAGGCTCACAAAGACGACTATTGTTGAGGGGTCAGGGAATCGGTCAAACATGTTCGTTTTTCTATATTTGTCAGGTATACAAGGCTGTGGGTAATAAGTTGTCTGGGGGCCCGCGTACATCTTTATTATTGAATGGAAGCGCGCGAACGCTGTGTTTGGTTAAAAGAAAGTTGTGAATTTGTAAAGCTAAGGTTTAATGCCTCTGCGTTTGGAGAAGGTAGCTGTCACTGAGATGGTACAGCTCCTCTGGCCCGAGGTTTCTTGCTCCCTGTAGATGCTCGTTCTGCGCAGCCGGTAAAACTTTCCGCGATCAAATTCATCTTTAGGAGCTGTTTCACGCTCTTTAGAGAAGCGATGATGAATTCCTACCAATTAACACTCTGGAGATCTTCCTAAAGAGACTGACTTGTATCTGAATACTCTCATTTGTAAACTACTTACTTTATTAACGCACCACATAAACCAGCTAACGTTTTGAAGGCAGATTTGTGTAGAGAAGATGCGATGAAACATCACTTAGCATCCATCTCTGGTAATGAATGTCTGTGTGTGCCAGACACTAATCAATACAGCAAGCCTTTAATATCAGGCTTGCCCTCAGAGCCAGAGCAAGTGATTTATCATTGTTGTTGCTCATATCTGCTGGTCCGTGAAAGTCTTACTCTTGCCTTTGCTGCGTGTTTTAGTTATCTTAAGTCCTGTTACACTCTCTGTGGTCTGTCTGTACAAGTGTGAAAGGTTGGGGTTTTTTTTCTCAGTAAAGAAACGACTCGTGCTGATAACGCCAGAAAAAAAAGGTACTAAAATATTGCTCACGTTTCTAGAGAGGAGATAGGATTGCAATGGGGGAGTCCAAGACCGCAACTTGTCCTCTCCTTTCAACTGCCTTTAATTTGAAAGAATTTTAAACCTAGGGAAGTACTCAATTTCAAATCTTGTAAGCTTCGTTGAAAATAACTAATGTGCACTCCTTAGCCTGAAGTTTGCAAGTATAATCTGTGCACAGCAAAATAAAGCCTAAGAATTGCATGAACGCACAGCTCTTGGCTCCGATCACCGAATCTGAACCTGAAATGGAGATAATTTAATAATTCAAGAATATTTTAAGATGTCCTTTGATAGTTTGATGGCTTCTTACATTGCTATTTCTACCTCAGATCCACCAGAACAACTACAGCGATTTATGGATGTGAGAGTTGCAGGTTATTTTCTTGCTGTGCATGCAGCCCCTTTGATGTTAGCGCAAGTAATCATTTCAAGCTTTTGGCACGAGTAGGATTGCATTTTTCAACCGACGTGTATCTCGGAGGAGAAGAGCAGCACCAGACGACAAGCTTCTGCTCAGTATTAACTTGTGACAAGCTGGAGTTGGTTCTTCTAACTGAAACACAGGCCTGACGATAGAGATGCACAAGCACGCAGCTCCTGTCTTCGGAGAGAAGGACTTCTTTCCAGAGGAGACAGAGCTATGGGAGGGCTCTGACTAAGGCTGTTTGCTTTGTGGCATGTGGCTTATCAGTCTTGAAAAGCAGCTGTAAAGTTTTTTCAGAGTGCCAAAAAACGTTGTCTTCATGTGAGGAAAATGTGATCTGAGTTAGATGCTGTTGGAACTCATCAAACACGATAGCTGAAGTTGCTTCAGGGGCTGGAAAAGTGCCTCCCGGTGTAGACTTGCACAAGGCTCCGCGGTTTGAGCTCAGCAGATGATTTTGCTTAAGAACATTTTTTTTTCCAGAGTTTTCAGACCATGTGGGTGTATCCTTTCCTTGAGTTCTTGAAAGTTTGGGTTTGATGGCTTTGGAAGGTTTCATTTCTGATGAAGTCCTGTTCTGGGCTGGACTGGACCGGTAAAGTATGAAGTAGCAAATCGGTCTCAAACTGAAGCCTTACTGGTGAGACTGGAGTGTGTTGAAATGGAGACCAAAGGAGCAAGGGAGAAGTGTCCAGGACCATGGGCTGTATGTAGGGGGAACTCACAGTGTTGGGATGAAAGAATGTGCTTGCCAGTCAGGTATACTGGGGGGGGGAAAAAAAGAGATCTTTCCTCTTCTCTCTGGTTTTAAACAAGTCTTTGCAAGGTATTTAACTGACACTTGTTTTAAGAGGTTTAAAGGAAATTGGCTAAGTTAATTGCCTGGATATTTGGGATGTTTTCAAGGCTTGGCTTTAGTTAACATTATAGAGGGAGAAATAATTTACTGCGTTAGTAGAATCACTACAATGGTAACAGCTCACATTGCAAAATTAAGTACAATATATTAGGTATAGGTAAAGCTAGTGATGGAAACCTGTTTTACGTTTTGGAAACAGTCTGTATTGTGTTCCGGATTCTGCCAAAATAAGAGTAAAACAAATATGTTGCGGAGGATGTGCCAATGGTGCTTCAGTTTCTCATGAGGAGTGTTTGCTAATATTTGTGGAGACTCACAGACAGAGAATCACAGCCCAGTAGTACTGTCACTTCACCCTGAGAGCTTTTTATCTCTAAACAAATGTGAATTTGCTCTCCAGACCAGCAGTCCTGAGAGAGAACAAATTAGACGCTGAATATAATCCCTTCAATTCTACTTTCTCTACATAATATCTTTCAAGAAGTGAGTATGACTGTATACTTCTATAAATAATGTAGCCAACCTTTCTTTTGAGTGTGGGTGTTGCTGATAACTATTGTCAGTTAAATGTTGTTTTCTTTGTTATACACACATCAGAGCAAAACAAACGGTCCTGTGGGTGAAGACTGTTAACACAGGTGGGGAGATGCCTTTGTTGTTCCCCCTTACGTTGGTTTTTTTACAGTGCTGTTTACAAGGTTATACAGCCTGTAGCGTAAGCTGATGGTAGTCCCTCACAGCACTCACTCTGCTAATAAACTTTCCAAAAGTATATCCTCTGCTGAGCTTGTGTCTCACCATCTTGGTTTTGTTTATTTCCTTATGTTCTTAGGAGTTGGAGAAGCTGGGACTGCGAGACGATGTGGATCTGCACGTCTATGAAGTCCCAGTTGAATACCAGACAGTGCAAAGACTCATTCCTGCATTATGGAAAAAGCACAGTCCACAAGTGAGTGAGTAAAGGGAGGAGGAGGAAAGACCAAGCGAATTTTAGAAAGTATCACAGAATCATAGAATGGTGAGGGTTGGAAGGGACCTCTGGAGATCATCTAGTCCAAGTCTATCATCCTTACAGCAACGGACATAATGGGAAGTCCCATTTTTAATGTACGTTCAGACAGGTAGTCCCTCGCTACATCTTTTCCTCTTTTGTCGTGAGAACATGTGAATTCGTAGAATTTTATAGCTTGGAATAGAGCGCTCCAATTAACGGGAGCAGTCGGTGTGAAGAGGCCACAGCAGAGGGCTGTCTAGACAGCTCGCAGTTAGTCTGTGCCACCTGGGCTGTTCCAGCGGTGGGCTCGGCTGTGAACATGCCAACGTTCAGTTTTACCCTGAGTAAATTACAATTTAGGCCAGGAGGGGGTGAAAGAAGAAGAATTGTTCTATACTGGACCCACAAGTTCGTTGATAAAATGACTTGTTACAGCGGTATTCATGCAAGAACTCTTGTAACGACTCCATCAGTCTTTAGCTGGGAATAGCTGGCTGTTGATTCTCCACCGTTTGTATTTTGGTTGATCTAACTTGTTTCTTTTCTCTTGTAGTTGGTGGTTCATGTGGGTGTTTCGGGTATGGCTACGACTGTAACTCTGGAGAAGTGTGGCCACAATGTAGGTTATAAAGGCTTAGACAACTGCCGTTTCTGCCCCGGCTCTCAGTGTTGCGTAGAAGGTGGCCCAGAATGCATCGATTCCATTATTGACATGGACACGGTTTGCAAGAGAGTCTCAGCACTGGGGCTGGATGTCACGGTCACTATATCTAAGGATGCCGGCAGGTATGGGATGGCAGTGCTCGATGGGGAAAATAGACTTGTACTGCGGTGTGTGCTCCCTTCGTGCTCAACTCATGAGGCCCGTACGATTCGTACGCTTTTCAGTTCTCGTGGGGCTGGCAATACCATCTATTTTTCAGCGGTCACCCAATCATCAGGGGGAAAAAAGAAAGATCTTTATGTTTCTTTGTCTTAGATTTGATTAAAGCAATCGCACAGACTTGCAAGTCGTATTCCGGTCTTTATTGCAGGATGTTGCTGCAATGCTCAACGATAAGAATATACAGTTCCTACTGTCCTGCCGTTTGCAGGCTGTATTTGTCACTTGTTGCTAAATAAGCCCTGTTCTTGTATTTCAGATACCTCTGTGACTTCACTTACTACACTTCCTTATACCAGAGCCGCGGGAGGTCGGCTTTTGTTCATGTGCCTCCGCTGGGAAAACCGTATACCGCAGAACAGCTGGGTCGGGCACTACAGGCTATAATAGAAGAAATGCTGGATGTTTTGGAGCATTCTGAAGACAAAATCAATTGTCAGCATGAACACTGAAAGTGAGCAGAAGCTATCCTAGTATTGCACTTCCAAAATTTTCCCCTGCTCCTGAAGTACTGGGAAAAAGTGTCTGAAACGTACAGACCAGGAATTGGAGACTTCAAAAAGAAAAAATCCACTTCTAGAAATTGACATTTTTTTTTGTCAAATGTGTGCATTTCAGCCTAGGCAACAAAGGATTCAAAATCTCTTCTTTAAAACATCTGCAACTACTCATTTCTGAAGTGTGTGTGCTGTGCTTTGCCCAGAGCTTATCTGTCAGCCAAGTGACAGCTACTGACCAGTCTAATACAGCGCAGATGGAGAGTTTCTCATCTGGACTTGGCGTTCAGGTGCAGGGAACTGATAACCCAGTCTTCTAATGACTAGTTCTTAAGTTGAAAGGTTTGCTTTTGGTTTGGTTTGGTTTTTATCCTCTCTGGCCCAACTTATAGGTTATAGTGTAAAAGTACAACTGAAAAGAGTTGGAATGGCGTGGGTTTGTCTGTTGTAAAACAGCGCGTGGAGATGAGGAGTCTTCAAGATCGCTTTGCTGAAATGGAAAAATATTTTAGGCACAGATTTCTCACCCCACGTTTTCCAAATATTCGTAGGGTCCTCTGTAATGTGGTGGTTTAACCGGTAGCTGCAGAGCTGCAGATAGAAGGGAGGTGTTTTGGGTTCCTTTTGTTGTGGAGCAGAAGATAGCTTTTTTTTTTTCTTTTTTTTTGTTTTTCTGTACGCAGTATGAGCCTAACTTGCGCCAAATATTTCCAAATGTCTTTTTTATTATGCTCTCGGTGCCACCTTCCTCACTCAAGTCAACCATATACCTCCTGTACAAAACACATTGTTTCATATGTGTATAAAGCAAATCATTAGCGGTTAAATAGCTTTGCTAAAGGCCACTTTCTCCACAGGAGATCTTTATCCTAGACTCTTGGTGCTAGCGGTTATTTTTAAGGTGAAGGTTGAGTAATTTATAACTTCCTTAGTTATAAATTTTCATTCTTGTTAAAGGTTAGAAGAGTAATGTTTAACTTAAATTCTAAGTTGCCACCTTGATTTATTATAGGCATAAATATGCGAACGTGCGGATTCGAAGACATTCTGCCAAATCAAATCTCAAATCTTAAACCTATTCCCACTGCCTGTAAACCAGAGGCAATTATTTGAAAAGTAGGAATTTTGCTTAGAATGAGTATTCCGGGCGGTTTATTACTGTCTCCCTCCCAATGGGAGGGTACAAAGTGCTGCTTCTTGTGTGAACTTTCCCGGTAATTAATTTGGGGAAGTGTACGTGCAGGTTCTAAGCAGGACTTTCAACGTGGTAGACGCTAGTGGTGCGTGTAGGTTTGCTTCCAGATTACAAGACTCCAGCGAAAGGTGGAGACAGATGATGTTACGGTGGGAACAGACACAAAATTGGTAATTGATGACCGGTCGGTCTTGTTGAGGGGCCATTTAAATGAAGAGGTCTGTGATTTGATCCTAATACTTTTACAAATATATATATATATATATATATAAAACAACATTTTAAAATGTTTTAGAATACCGTTATTTTAATTTTTCTAATTGTGAATGATTCTGCTATAGTATCTCTCAGTGAGAGCTGCCATTAACTTGCTGTTTTCCAGTAGAAGTCTCGTGACGAAGGAAATACCACTTCTCCCTGTAACCCTTGAGAGAGGATGGAGACTTCTGCAGTTGTAATAACTTTGCTAAGGGGACCGGTGTATGAAGATTTTTTTTGGATAGACTTCTGGTTTAGCGAGGAAATTACCGCTGTATTTACAATACGGGCGTTCCTGATCAAAAGAGTTTGCCTTCAAAGTAAATATGCTGGTTTGCGTTCAAATACAAAGTAGCACTTGTCAGATTGTCGGCAGGCAGGCAGACTTTCTGATTAGTAATTTATTATATTTAATATTTTGTTTAAATATTTGTGGTTTGACACATTTTTTGCGAATAGTGGAGCTACTTGTCTTGTAGGTTGATTCCTTTATCTGGTAAGAAGTTTTTGTCATCGGTGTATCTTAGCTGCTAAAGTTTTAACAGAGGAGTAATTCACGTATTCTGCTAAGTTTGGCAATTGTTTTAAGTAATTTTCAGTAATGCTATTTAATTTACATGTGATGTAGTTGTGAATAAAGTGGGAGCGGAAGACCAACAGTTTAATGAGGCGATAACAAATAAAAAATGACCGTGGAATGGAAGCGGCTGTAGGAAGGACTGGTTGGAGCAGCGATGCCCGTGGGTGCCGTGGGGAAGGTTTGTCCGCCGGCCGTCCCTCGCCTTGAGCAGAGAGGGGTGGAGGAGGTCGCTGGGGGGGCTCTGTTGATGACAAATGTCTCTAAGTGAGATGTGTCCGTGTCTCTCAACCCCTTGTGCTTCCTTTGAGCGTTACGAGTGGGCAGCCTTGGAGATCTCCCCGGGATGTGGCTGAGGAGAAGTGGCTCCAAGTTCACCGTCGGGGAAGGCAGACGTGGGGAGAGCGGCTTTCCGTGCTACTTTATTCAGCCTGTGGAGTTATGTCCTGTTCGACACCTCTAGATGATCTTTCTTGGGTGCTTTCTGCTGTTCAAGGGGAAAATCTTGAGCCGATTGCTGTGACTGCTGTTTGTCTAAGGACTGCAGTGGTTTACCTTCTACATGTCAGTGTTAAAAACCTCATTTTTGGAAATACTTTGCTTTGAGCACCGCTTCGAGCTGTGTGTCTCCTCATAATCTGTTGGTTGGTTGTTTTTGGTTTTTTTTTGGTGAAGCTTCCCTGTGATCAGTTTCTTAGAAAGCATAATTTATTTTATAATCTTTTTGGGGTTTTGAGAATTAGTCCTCAGAGATTGTATTTGTAAAGGGTGTCTTGGTGGTAGACAAATTTTGTATAGCGAAACTTTTAAAAATGGCATTAAACTAATTTTATTTAATCTGACCTAAATTAAATACTTTTGGGTTTTTTTGAAAGGGTTTTTTTTTGTTAAATTCATTAACTCATAATGCTTTTCCTATAGGTGCATATTTTCTTTGGAAATATGATGTCAAACTGATACAGAGCTTCAAAAAGCTGACGTTTTGTGTAATGCTTACTATCTGCTTTCTCTTCCAGATCACCAATAAATAGAATTTGCTAATTTGCACTGACTGGGAGACCTGTTGCCAACCAGAAAAAATTTCATGCTAGTGAGTAAGTGTAGGAAGTTCAGGTTTAGTGTTAATTACTGTGCCTGCAATTTGTAAAACCTAAAAGCTGGTGAAGTTTTGGAATCCTGTGACTGCAAAATTGTCTCTGGGGATACGCTTCACGGAGAAACGGGGCTGAGAATATTTTGTGCGGAAGAGAGAATTAGGGAGGTTCCACTGTATCGGGTCTGATGTCATTTTATCTACTTGCCAACAGCTTGGAGTAGGAACTGGCTAACACGTCGGTGAAGTTTGGTGATGACAATTTAATTGTTTCAGTTATTAAATGCTGCGGAGGATTTTGAGGAACTCCAGATACTCGTAAACTCCTTTATAATTTGGCGACTGTGATGTCGGGTGATATTTCCTTTGAATGAAACATGGTAATCTACTTTATATAACCCAGCAAAAAGAAATTGTGAGCTTGAAAGTTAACCTTAAAGAGTCATGGGGGACTTGATGATCCTTGTGGGTCCCTTCCAACTTGATTCTATGATCTACATTCTGTGATTCTATGCTCTGGTCGAACACCTTCAACCAGGTGTTGAAGCTATTTGGGTGGGGGGTTTTGGCAGCTTTTGGAAAAGGATATCCAAATCTGTACGATCTGTAAGATCATCTAGAGCAGTTCACGCTTATCTGGAGTATTCCCCAACCTGATTGCTTCCTCCTAAACGTGGCGGTAGTGGGAAAGGATGAAAAAAGGTCATGAAGATGGTTAGAGGTGTTGAGTGTGGTTGTGACATGAGACTGCAGCCAAGAACTGCTGTGAGCTTCAAGAGTCCTTCCAGGAGGGACCTGACTGAGCGTGTCCAAAAGTTTAAGACTTCATGGAAACGAGCCGGTTGCTCTGCTTTTCACCCCGAAGAGGAGGGAAATTCAAAGGCAAAGCCTCTAGAGTAAATCTGAGATAAAGGCTTCCCGGCTGACTCCTTGCAGAAATCGAGAAGGCGTTTGCAGCGTCGCCTGGTAGAGCGTAGCCTGATGCGCTGGGTCCTGCCTGCTGCCCGCAGCAGGAAAACGGACTCATTGAACTCTGATCTAATATGTCTTAACTTATCTTTATCTCTGTAGGGTTTGTACTGCATGTGCTGTGGTAAGTCAGGTAGGAAACTGTACTCTTTGTGTTTACTTTACTCTTAGACAGCGCTTAGATGTAGCATTCAAACTCCAGTGTGTCTCTCACTGTTCTGCCGGTCGCGCAGGCAATATTTAACCTTTTAGTGCCTCAGTCAGCTGGCAAAGGGGATTATTCCGGGCCGCCGTCACGCAGTGCCGTGCCTGGAATAAAAGCCCAGGAGCTTCCAGGCCTGCAGACTCGCAAAGGGACAGCACAGACTCCCAGTGTTGTTATTTTTGTTAAGGAAAAGGCTTAAAAAAGTTATAATCCACTGAAGTTTCTTCTAATACTCAAATAATCTTCGTTGGGTTGAGTGCGTGATGCGTTGACCTGGCCCGCGGGCTTTCTTATGAAATGGGTGAAAGGAATTGCGGTAGGAGGAGCTTCCTAAAACCGAAAAAGGGAAAACCACCTAAATGAGTTGAATTGGTAATTCCCCACTAACAGGAGAGCTAGCGCTGGGCTGAAGCAGCGATTATGGTCTGATTACGGTGTTATTTCACGGTTTGACTTGTGCCTCGTGCATCTTTTTTAACTTACAGTGTGTTTCTAACTCTCCAACCACGCAGCTGATCCGCAGACGCTGAGCTGCTTTAGGAGTGAGTGGTTTGAAAGCCGACTGAAAACCAGTATGTTTAGCCGTAGCAAGTATGCTTCTGTGGTGGTTTTTAATTACGATTTTCAGATTTCATCCCCCAGTGCAGATCGTAAAATGGTCGGCAATTAATTTCTACATACTTTCACAAAGTAACTTCCTTCCTGTTGTCTCCTTTACTTACTTTAATATACTCTCCGATAATGTTTTAATGAGAGAAATTTCAGAGTTGCGGGGGCTTTCTTTCATATCTGTTGGTTTGGATA